TGCACCTGCATGAAAAATGAGGCCTAGTTAAGGTTGTGTTAAAAATCAGACCCTTTACATTATTACTTGATTTATTCTTAACTCACTCTGGTGAAAGACACTGATCTTACAGCTGACATATGCCATCTTCTGGACAAAGATGCTATAGCTTTATTAACTGCAAAAGAAAATACACAAATTGTCTAAATGACAGCCAGCAGTTCTGTTGAGGAACAGTAAAATTTGAAAGCAGCAGGTTTTCCTGGCTATAGTGTCTTCATAGAAGTAGGCTTGCTGCTGTAATTTCCTACAGTAAAAAAAAATCCAGTATTAACTCTAAAAATGATATTTGTCTGTAAGTAGAATTCTCTGAATATACAGCCTCCCAGATCTACACACTAGGAGAAGTTAAAGCAATTAACATGCATTAGAGAGCATAAAGAAAGTATGTAGACTTCATAAGCCCCTGACTGCTTTCCTGGAAAAAACAAGCAGGGATGGAAGGCAGGAGAGTGTACATCTACAGAAGCAATATATTTTTTCACTATTTCTGAGAGCTGGGAAGGGCAATGAACCTGTAGGTTGGATACACTTTTTTCTTCCTTTATATATTTTCCTCCAATTTTTCCACTTTGGGAAACTATTGAGCAGGAATCACTTTGACGGTAAACTGATCATGTCTGTTTAAAGAGACTGCCTTATCCAACAAGCTCTGTCAACTTAGCCTCTGGGTTTAAAACAGTAACGTTGGGTAAAAATGTGAAGCGAAAGCCAAGTGGCACAGCAGTATAAAGTATACTACAGAAAATAATAATGCACTGGCAGGGAAATTAATTGGATGATGTAAAGGTCTTTTCCATCTTTAACTTTAATTCTTATTAATGAGCTTTGCAGAGATCATAAGAGGCAAACGTTTCTGGGAAGCCATCACAACTCATGTAATAACTCTTCTGGAGGAGGCAATTTAACTTTTGTAGCATGGTTTGATATATCCTTCTGTTCATTTAGAAAGATGCTGTTTGGAAATGGTCTCTGTTTTTGGACCCTTCCCCCAAAGCCAGAAAAACACCACTACTACAAAAAAAACCCAAAGGTTTTGGTTTTTTTAAATTAAATTAAATTGCTTTTTCAGGTAAAAACACCTCCTCTTATATTCAAGCAATGAAGGCAGCATGACCCTTTGAAAACTAGATCCTGCTGAATATCTGAAACTGCTTTATGAAGAAAGTTAAAAGGTTGAAGGACCATCTTATCCTCATGGAAAACTAAAGAACAGATTCATGTATTTTCAGGCCAGAAGAGACTATTATGATAATCTAGTTTAATTTCCTGCAGAATAAAAGTAATAGAATTTCACCCAGTATTTCCTGCATTACATCCAACAACTTGTGGTGGAATTAAGTTATATCTGTGAGAAAGACATTCAACCTTTAAAGAATCCAAAGTGATGGAGAATTTACCACAACCCTTAATAAGCTATTCCAATAGTTGATAACCCTCACTATTAAAAGCAGGCCTTATTTCCAGTTTTTAAACTTTGCTATCTTCAACTTCCAGCCACTAGATCTTGTTATGTCTTTGTACAAGAAGGCTCTTAAAAAAAAAATCTAGCAAAAAGGAATCTTCTACCTGTTCAGTAATTATGAACTGTGATCAAGACAGCTCTTAAAATATTCAGTTTGAGAAACTAAACAAATTGAGTTCCTTCTGTCTCTCATTGTAAGATATGTTTACAAGACCTTTAATCATTCTTGTAGCTCTTCACTGAACCCTCTCCCTACTTTTCAACATCCATACTAAAGAGAATTAGACTTCAGGGCCTGAAACACTTCTCTTTATTGTAGCTTTGGGGAATGGCAAACACATACCATTTTTGTTGGAAAGCTGCATTTTCAACATTTAAACATCTTAATTCATTATAATCTAAACAAAATATTGAAAGGCAAAGGAAACTTCCAAATTCAAGCTAAGTTATAAATTATGGATGAACTCATTTAACACTCTTAAGTGGAAATGTGAACCCAGGATTCCACTAGCTGAAAAATAAATGCAGTGGTAGCAAACACTTTCTGGCAGAGGTAATTGCCCCGAAAGCCTATCTTGAATGAAAGTAAAATAAATTCTCATTTATGGGTTTAAATGGAAAGCCCACCATGTTACTAAAGGTTAAATTCAGATCTCAAGAATGGATAGGAACCTGACACCAGGAAAAAGATTGAAGAGGTCTTTGGAAAAAATGCTTTACCAGCAGGTGAATAAATATTGATTTACTGTCTACTGTATTAAGGAAGCACCTATTGCTACAAAATATAATTTATAAACTGTTTGAAAGATATTTGATTAGTTACATTAATTTCATTAAAGACAAAAGACTGCATAAAACTGTAACTGGTAGACAAAAGAAGAACTTTATTCCTAACTCAAATGGAAAATATTTCATTTTTACGTTATGAGTCCAATTCTACTTCCATGGAAGCCAATGGCTAAATTCCCACTGACTTAAATGGGACCAGGTGCAGACCCTGTATCTCTCCCTAGTTAAAAGTTTAGAAGACTCTAAGGAATGTAATGGACTTCCACTGAAAGGTAGATGAGGCCCAAAAACCAGGTTTCTATCCATCTAGTTCTTATCTTTTTGGAAGCAAATGTCAGGTTTCAAAAGAAACAAAGAACAGAGGAGAGGAAAGAAAATGTGTCAGTGGGGAGAGGCATGGAAAGGTATTAGTATTTTAGTCTAGAAAATATTTAGACAAATCAAAATAAATTTCAACTTAAGTTTTTTTAAGTCCCTTGACTGGTTGGTTGGTTTAGGGCTTTGGGAAACGTACAATATTTCATTAACAATGTAACAGGTTTGGGAACCAGTGTTTCTCACTTTAGTCATAGCTGCATGTTCTGGTCAATTTCATTTATCCACCTGACTTCAGAAATATTTTACAATTTTTCAGTCAATAATAGTTGTGAAATTCCCCCACACAGCTTCTCTTATTCTCCAGTGATGGGGCACCTTCTTTAGGGTTACCATATTTGAACATTGAAAAAAGAGGACACTCCACGGGGCCCCGGCCCCGCCCCAACTCCACCCCTTCCCCGCCCCCACCCCCACCCCTTTCCCCGCCCCCACCCAACTCCACCCCTTCCCTGCCCCCATTCCAACCCCTTCCCCAAAGTCTCCACCCCCTCCCCTGAGCGCCCCACATTCCCCCTCCTCCCTCCCAGCCACACGAAACAGCTGCACCAATTCTAGAGTCAGGCACTCCACTAGTGTAGACTCCCGGACGGGGGTTTGATTGCCGAAAAGCCGGACATGTCCGGGAAAAACCGGACGTATGGTAACCCTACCATTACACTATCTTCTGCCTGATGTTTACCTACAAGCTCATTGAACAAGCTGGTTATTTCAAACACTTCAGCTTGTTTTTATCAGATCCTTTTCTTGAGTTGTATCAATCTGATTACTGATCTCTCCCATCTGCTGAAGTTGCTCCCACAAAGGTCACCCAAGCAATAAAAGGAGACCGCCTTCTCCTCATTGTTCCACCACAACAAATATGCTTGTAGGGAACATTCCCTCTTGATACCCCTAAGGTGAACTCCAGGGAATCTGGGGCAAATCATGCTAAGCGCTGGGTCTTCACCTTTTCACCCACTAGAAAAATTTAAGTCCAAGGCAGACCACTTTCAGGGAAAAGTGTAAGACACATCTCTTTTTCTAGGTTTTCCAATAATTACATCCCGTTTGCATTGCAACCAGGACCTTCCTTTTTCTTCTGTTTAAGCAAGTTAGGAAGAAAACTTATCTCTTCTAGGTTTTTCTCTTTTAAAAAGTCCACGTGGTCTTCCAGGCACAAGCCCAAGACACTACTCACTTTATACTATTTGAAGGCTGCCTTTTCCCCCCCAGTTTTTCCTTCTCTTTCTGTTTCCATCATTCAAATCCAGATCTGATGGCTCCACTCCAGCCTTTGTGGACTGCTTTGGTAAGCCCCCCTTGCCTCCGGACCCCGAGCCGCCGGCCCGGCACTTCCCTTCCCGGGCTCCAGCTGAGCTGCTCCGCTCCTCCCCGGGGAGTCGTGGCGAGGGGGGCTGCCCGAAGCCGGTAGCGCTGGCTCGGGCAGCTCGGCTCTGAAAGTCTGAGAGGGGAGGAGCGGAGCAGAGCAGCCGTGGAAGAGGAAGTGCCCGGCCAGCATTTTCCCAGACATGTTTGGCTTTTCGGCAATTCCCCCCGGACGGGGGTTTGATTGCCGAAAAGCCGGACATGTCCGGGAAAAACCGGACGTATGGTAACCCTACCTTCTTAGCTGTTATAAATTGTCATAACACCACTGAAGTCAATTTACACCAGCTGAGAACCTACCCCAGGGCATTAAGGGTAAGAGTTCTCTCCAATACAAGCCAACTTCCACATGCTGTGGAATAATGACTGTCTGTTACCCTTGACACATCCCAAACTTGACACACAAAAGTTGCCCACTAAAGTTCGTAATCTTACTGGTGGGCTTACTCTTCGTGTAAACAGGATTCTCAATATTTCTTTCCCAGATCAGAACTCTAACCTTCTATAGAGCTACACTCCATATTCATTTTCTGAAAATGCAGGCAAATGGCCACATCTAGGACAAGCCCAAATTCTGCACTCTCCCCACCTACACCCATAAATTTTAATCATTGATCCCTCAAACCTATGTCCCACTCCTTCTCGATCACCCATGTGTTGCATACTGTTAAATACATTTCTGATTTAATTCAAACTTTAAAACACTAATACTTGTCACTCAACTAATCTCTCTAACATCTAATGTCACATGTGGCTACCCACCTCTGCATATTATTCAACAATCATTACATATTAAAAAATAAAATATATACAGATAAACAGCCATATGTACTATTGCCTAAAGCAAGCACCCAAAACAACCCCAAATGGACTGAAGATATTTTTGCTCTGCTACAATTCTACTCTTCCTTTATTAGAAAATCATTTTAGTTAAGCTATTTTTTTTTT